CAAACGAAAGCTAGACCACGAACATGGCGAAAGGGGAAACAAACGTGCGTTTTATCACGTGGCATGCGACCTTGAAACCCTCTATTCGCATTCATTATAAAATTTACAAATAATTGATACTCAGAGCTAAGCATACCCTAAGAAAATTAGGCAATTGCTTAGGGCTGGGTCAAACAAACGCCGGCGCCCACCAGTGGCTAAGCGGTCTTCGTACCCTGAACACTGGGAGTTCGGTCGTGGGTTCGCGCTTCGCTCGGACTGGCTGGCCACGTGGAATTTTCCGGATTTTCTCCGCGTCTGTAACGCCTAAATAGGGGTCAGTTTCCCTTAAAAAGACCTCTCGGAAGGCACCCCCTAGTCAGATCGCCCAAGTGTTGCGTTGCCATAACTCAACCAAACCTTACAAACGCCCGTAAATCTATTTTTAAAACAAAATTTAGCGGGCCTGATCGCGAGATTCTGCCTAAAAATCGAAATTCTCTTCATCTAGAACTAGTCCTACTCCAAATAAGACACCGTGCACAAACTGTACAAAATAAATTCAACGTACAGGCTTATCATTACATTAATACAATGGGTAGGGCTCCTTTAACATGAAAATTATCATGTTAAAGGGAAATAGTAAAAATAAGATCTTTAAAATGCAAATTTTTATAAAAAGAGACTAAAAATTTCACTGTAATCATCATCATATTCTACTATGCTCAAAAAGTATCGCGAATGGTTCATTAAAACTGCGCGATTGCAAGGTGTCGTAGTTTTTGTTTTGGTCGTTCGGTACAACTTTCATCGGCATCCAGCAGAAATCTATATGTCATCGTTTGCAAATAAATGCTTGTTTTGTGAGCAAAGAATTTCTGCACAGCAATTTTTCAAAATGTCGAGTGTAATCGAGTGAAGAACGTAAATTTTGTTTTCGCAACAGAATTACTGCTATTAAAACGTTGGAAATGTTGCAAAAATCCTCTGGTGACGATAGTTTATTAAAAACAAGAGTTTTCGAGTGGTACAATATTCGAGGAAGGCAAGAGAACGCGTCGTAGACGAACCACACTCTGGTAGACCACCCACTTCACCAGATGAACAACACATCGCTCGAGTCAAAGATTTGGTGCTCAGTGATCGTCATTTAACAATTAGGGACATTATTAAACATGTTCCAGTATCATTTGACTCTTATCAAGCAATTTTAAAAGATTATTTGGGCTGCGACGCGTCGCTTTTCGACTCGTCCCGAAACGTTGAATTTTTCCCCAAAACAACGTGTTCGTGTGGCCAAGAAAATGCTTTATCGAGGCGAATCATCTTTAAAATGCATCATTACGGGTGATGAAACACTGATCTACACTTTTGACACCGAAATTGATCGGCAATCGCGTGAATGGCGCTCGAAAGAGACCAAAAAGACCACGTCAATGTGAGCAAAACTTAAAGTCGTGTTGACCGTTTACTTCGATTGTCATGGTGTTGTGCATCACGAATTCCTCCCGACTGGCCAAACTGTCAACAAAAAATATTATTTGAGCGTTTTGCTTCGTTTGCGTGAAGAAATTGTAGAAAACGACCCGACTTCTGGCGAGAAAACGCGTGAATTTTGCACTACGATATTGCACCTGCTCAAAATGCTCTTAGTGCATTTTGGCCAAGAATTGAACAAATACGGTTCCGCAAGCTCTGTGTGGCACCGTGCGACTTTTTCCTGTCTCCTCGAGTAAAACTTCTGTTTCGTGGTCACCGTTTTGAGTCGATCGATGCCATGAAACAAAATTCACCGAGAGTCACGAAGGTGTTTCACAAAAACGACTTAAAATATGTTTCGAAGATTGGAATAATCGTTGGCATAAGTGTATCGCAGTGGGAATAGATTACTTTGAAGAGGACGAAATTAATTTTGATGAATAAATTCAATCTTGCATTTTATTGAACCATTGCCAATAGATTGTGATCACAGTTATACCATATAGGGCATATACAGTAATGGCTGTAAAGCTCTTTGAATCTAATAAACAATCGTACAGATATTTACAATTTACATATTTGTATAAAGCATACGGTTTAGGATTAAGGCCTTGATCCTTACGTTATATTAATTTGTTCTGAAAAACATACTTTTTTTGCAAAAAAAGAAGATAAACATTTACTTCTCTTAACCTCCACTAGAGGAAGCATCGTCAAACTTCAATATACACACAGGTTTTACTGTGTATATATGTATATATAGGCTACACAGTAAAACCTATATAATACATACACAATAAAATCTATGTAATATATACTGTAAATTTGTCAACAATGGAACCTGAATAAAACAAAAACTTGTCTAAACGGGACAAAATTATTCGCAAGAGACCAATTTTTTTATGTTAAAAAAACCTGTTTAAAACGGAAATCTGTCAGACCTAAAAATATTCGGTACTGTGCGATTATTATATATGTATAATAATAATAATATATTTTTATTGCTATCTATTCAAAAATAGTAATAAATAAAATATACTAAAAGTTTTTAAAATCTATTTTATTATTAAATTTTGTTCATAAATTTTGTTTATACTTGCCATGTTTAATAGGCCTATAATGCTAAAGAAGAATAGTTTTATTCGATTTTTAATTAATTTTTTATCTTATATCTTTTAAACTATAAATATAGGCTATAAGAATTTAATACTACTTTGACTGATACAAATATTTTTTTTAAATTGAATTTCGAGAGGAATAATTATTGAGAATTCAATTAATGGCAAGTAGATGGATGAAAGTGGAAAGTAATGGAGTCAAATTACAAGGCGGTAGGCTTATAACTATCGTTTTGCTTCAGATAAATTCTAAAATGAGATAAACCCAATTGACACTTGTCATTTCGTAAGAAGCGCTCCCTAATTATTCACAAAATCTTCCCTTCTTTCGCCTCATTTTAAAATTAAACGTAGCATTTTTAATATAACTCATTATTAATTTTCATATATTATATTTTATAAAATTTGTTAAATTACCTTCACTTCAATAACATCAAAATTTTCTATTATGATTATTTAACTTAAGTATTTTTCATATAAAAAAATAATGGGACTAGTATAAATTTATAGTGCTTTTAGTATTTCGCTTACCCAAATTAAAAAAAATAGCTCATAGAGCGTTGGCTGAGAAGAGTTTTGAAGAAAAATGTAGCAAGTACTGTATTTCAAATTGTCTCTAGTGATAAGACCGAAAAGGCGGATACAAACGAAGGTGCTGTACAAATCCATGCACCAGCGCTGTTTATAAATATTGAGAGAAAAGTTTAAACTTCATATTAACGAACAGTTTAATAATGGAAAGCAAATATTATTTAATTCAAACTGTTATATATATATTTTTTCATTTTCAATAAATTGTTTTTGATGTTTCTATTTGCTGTTTTATCTATAATCGTTATAAATTGTCATGGTTTTAACATTTTTACTAAGGTGAAAAGGGTTTTGTGATAAAAATAAGTTGGGAACTGTTTGCTGTAGATCAGTGTTTCTCAACGGGGGCGATATCGCCCCCATGTGGGCGATTTTCCATGTTCAGGGGGCGATTAGCAACAATTTATATTTTGGGGGCGAAAAACAATTTTTTGGGCTATATAGTAAAACATTATATTAAGAGTAATATATATATTTTATTCGTTATATCGTACAATAATTAAACAAATAACATTATACTAGTCACTAGTCTATTCAATGCAGTACGAATTTGGCGTTAGCCTTGTCCCTCGGCATCGGAATTTTGTAGTGAAGGGGGCGATACTACGTCGAAGGGGGCGACGATTCGTTAGAGATTGAGAAACACTGCTGTAGATGATGCAGCTGAAGAGACATTTTAGAAAGATGCAATGGTTCGGGCATGGCGAAGTGGCAAAATTACAATGTTAAGTCTATGGGACAAACAGGTCGGGGTCTCACCTCCTTCCTATTAACTTTAGCCCGATTTTTTTATGTTTGTGTGTTTTACAGTTTTATTATTTTAAATACTGAGAATGTACTGTACTGTACTGTACATTTTAGTTACTAAGACCATTGTTTTTATCACCTCCCAACACGACCTCACCAATCCCCAACCACCTCAAAAGCCGGGCACATATAGCATGCACATTCCTGAGGGTGCGAGATTTTGTATTATAGATGTTCTAAAAAAATGAGCTGTATTTAATTATTAAAAAAAATATTAAAGTTTATGGTGAAATATTTCTTTGAAAACTGCCATTATTTGCCTTAATACACAAAACTACTGTGAATCTGTCTGAGTTTCTCACCAGTTAGAGGTTTTTTGGAGGATCTTTAACCGTTTCAGGACCCACCAGTGGCCGAGTGGATAAAACTATATAGTAGTGGGTTCGCCTCTCCAACGAGTAGACCATGTAGTGTTTTCCGGTATTTTTTACGTCTATAACAGCTAAATAGGACCTTAGAAACTTCTCCCGGGAGCCATTACCTCCGGTAGACCTCCCGCGAGTTGAGTTGCCTTAAACAAGCAAACTTTAACTGTTTTAGCTGTACTTTAGGTTAGACTAAAATTTACGTGAGAAAATGGGATCCTTCTTCAAAAGAGCTTAGCAAAATTTTCGTGGAAGATGCGAGAGCAAATCATTAAAATTCAACAGGTGCAGGCAGCATGAAAGCTAAATGACTACATTGTTCTGTAGAGCAATTTTCAAGAACTAGTCTACCACATGAAAAATTGAAATGCAAATATAATTTCCAAGAATATATTTAACAAAAATTCTCAACTTTCAGAATTTAAACAATAGAAATTTCACTAGAATTGTTTATTCCGTAAATGTAGTTTATGTGTTTAAATTAGATACAGAATTTATAATTAATAAATTATACATATCCCCATAATTTATTTAATACTTAGGCCTAGATGTCCAAGAAATAATAAAATTAAATATCAGTATTATTATTAAGAAGTTAGATTGCAACAATATTAAAGTATAATTTTATTAGAACACAATCAAACTTGGATTTAGTGCCACCGTTCATTGGCCTGTGAAACTGGCAATAAATCGAGTATGGCGATAAACTGAAAGACATCAAGATTTATGGGGGAAGTCTGTTCACGAATAAGCCTATTCACAGGCGCTATTTAGGAGTGCTGTAGCCTATGTAGAGGTTTTGACCTATGAACACGCAAAATTATTAAAATAAGTTTACGAATATTTCACTTTCTGCTTAATATAAATTAGGTATAGTTAATAATTATTTATCAAGTTAATTATAAAAAAAATAAGGCGTAATAATTTTTGTATGAAATTTTCAGCCTCTCCTTGTCAAAATTGTTTTTAAAATCAATTATAGAAAGACTCTTTCGAAAGAAATTATAAAAATTTATTAAAAATATAACTTATTAATATCAAAGTTGAAAATATGGAGGGTGTCCCAAAAGTCAGTTAACCGGAATATTTTTTTTAAATTATTTTAAGAATGGTTAAAACCAGTTTGGAATAACTGCGCGTTGTTATTCGTGATTTAGTCATTTCTTTAGAAGAGAGTAGATTATGAATAATTAGGAGAAGCTGCTCTAATCTAGTTTTAATTAAAACAATAATAATTTCGTAGTAACAACACATGAATACAGTCTCTCCCTCTCTTAATTTTTCCAGTGGTTGAATGATTATTGTTACGCAATGATAACGATTACTGATTTGTTAACCACATTGGTGACAATTGTCATGCTTGTGTTTAAATATTTATTATTTGTGTTTATAAGTAACGACAGATGGCGCCACTAAAACATAATTAGGTAAAGTTTTTTAGTGTTTAAATTTATAGACAACTATACTTAATCGTTTGACTTAAGAGACAAAGCAATGCAATGTTTAATACCAGAAAGCATTACACAACAGTTTTACATACGAGATCATTTTTACAACAAATCTTAATAAATATTAAATCGCCCATCATTATTTCTGGAAGGAAACAATGCTACTTTATTCATACAAGTGAAACATTAATTGAATGTAGCTTTATTTACATTTTTTCCAGGCATTTTCATCTGAATCCGGCGGAGTAGTGTTCGAACGCTCTCCTCCTGAGAGAAACGATGCTGTTGCCTCTCCACATGTCACCGCTACCGTGACCAATCTCGGCCATTCCGAGAGCGCATCCGGACGCGGGATTGGCCGACGGTGGAGGAGTGGGGAAACTATTGGGCGGAGCTAATCCCGAGGGCGGTGTCAAAGTATTGAAATTGCCGTATGCCGATTGGTAGACGGCCGAAGAGCAAGCTAATGCCTGTTCTTCCGCCGTAGGGCGGGATATCTGGGTTATTCCTTGATGGGATTGGGTCAGAGCGGTTTGACGCTGTAGAGGGTGTGTCAGGGGGAGGGTGTGCGGATTGGACATTGTCCATCGAGTGTCGGGAGACGATCCGAACGAACATAATGCTTCTCCACTCGATGTAGCGAAAGCTAATCCGTGAGGCTGTAACACCGAGTTTGGATTTCTAAACACGTTGGCTGCCTTCTTGCGTTTCTTCCACTTGGCACGTCTGTTTTGGAACCATACCTGAAAAAATTCAAGTTATAGTATTACTTTTTCAATTTTTATCTAAAATTCTCGTTATCTAATCTATTAAATTAATCCATGCGCTTTATATATTTAATAATTTAATATTTTCTCATGTTTATTTTTGTTTAAGGTTACTTTAAAAAGTCATGCATCTATCTTATAGCTAAGTTTAAAACGTTAATATTTAAATTTAATATTACATTTTATTATTATTCAAAACAAATTTGTAAAAATAATTCCCTTTGTATATATAAGATATAAAGAGGATAAATGAGAGCTCGGATCCTTAATTAATTTTATGATGAACTGTTGGATTTGAAAGGAAAGCGGAATACTTTTGTGATAGATGTTATAGTATTTTAATAGTTAAAATCAATATGAAAATTGTATTTTACAACTTTTAAAATCTATATTTAACGTAGAATATTTATCTATACTGACAGAATTATTACATTAAATCATTTTAGCCTTGATTTACACGGAGCAGGTAACGCGCGAATTTGCGATCCAGTCCAAGTAACGATAGTTTCAGATGATTGCCTAAACACTTAAATGACTATTTACACTTAATAGAAAAATATTTTAGCGTGTTTAAAACATTTTCCTTATATTTTTACTATAGGCCTATACTGTAAAATTTTGTTTTGTATATTCAAAAACATTGGATCAGGACAGCATTCATTTAAGTCCGATGTTTTTGAATATACAGAGCAAAATTCTATTATGCACTATTGCGTACAGTATTTGAAGAAAATACACAAAATCCTCCAGTAAATGGCTTTCAGTAGTGTCTAGTATTTGTAATATCAGATATTGGGCTTCCTCTGACCGTGATTCGTCTAGGATTTGACCTAGACAAAATTTATTTTTGAGGCCCATTAAAAAAGCGGTAGAGGATAGACAGTTCACCAACTATAGGCCTATATTATAGTATAGATAAAACAAATCTTGAAACCACAGTAGTATTTAAATATTTATCTTTTAAGAGCTAAAACACAAAATTCATGTTAGGTTGACATAGATCAAGTTGTGTAAATTTATCATATAATAAACTATTAGTATGTTAGAATGTGAATCATTTAATTGAATCTTTCTTAGAGAAATGTTTATTCAATATAATCACAACTGAATAAAATCCTTTTATATAATTCCGACAACAGGTCAGAATGTTGTTTCCCGCATTATATAAACCATACTTTTGTAAAGTACAGTAAATAGCCTAAATGAAAAAAAAACAATGTATAGGAACCCTATTTCTGCCCCCTCTGGACATCCTTCATAATAAGTACTAAATTCGCTACTTTTAAAGAAACGAAAAATAGTTTAGTTTTTCGAAAAAGTAAAATAATTTCTGCTTTTAAATTGGATTGCAATTTTCAAAAATTTCAAAACATAGATGGACGTCAGTGGGAATTTGTCTGTCCTTCCTTAATCTCGAGAACGGAGTTAGATAGATGGAATTTGAGTCATATATTAAAAGCTTAGGGCAGGAGGCCCCAATTAACTATATAAAAACTTTCGTTTTGGAACAGAAGTCATGTTATTTCAATTTAAAAATGTTCTCCTAAACGGATGACCGCATGAGTCTATTGTTAACAGGAAAAGTACGATATACAGAGACGAGACATCACTAAATTGAGAGCATTGTGAAGATGTCACAATAAATAATTGTGCTCAATTATTTTAAAAATTGTTTAAGAAATTTTTCAATTAAATGATCAATTTAATAAAATTTGAATTCAAAATAACATTTCAAAATTTGTTTAATATTCGGATATTAAATTAATATTTTAAATTTGTAATGTTAATTAATGAAACAGTAATTATGTTTTAATTGCGTCGTATTATCATTCAAGAAATTGTATATTCTGTTTTACTTTAGAATAAATAAATGTAAGTTAATTAAAATTAAATCGTAAATATTTCCAACAAATAAACAGACGTTATATAATTTTATACGAAAAATTATCAGTAACAGTGAATTCAATATTTGTTTGACAAGTATACAAGATGAATGACCCATATCAAGGTAACAAAAAACTAAAAAATTCATAGTAATAATGTATTTGAATGCCGTAAATTACATAAAAGATATCATTTGGAACAAATTTTTTAATTTACAAAACTTATTTTAAAATAGTTAACTGACTTTTGAGCCACACTGTATGATAAATTCTAATATTTTTAATAGCTGTAACTAAAGGTTTTATCATTATCATGTTGGGTTTAGTGAGTTATACTCGGTTGACACCGGTTGCCGTGTAATATGCCGGACCAGAGTCAAGGCATAGCAACCAAAACAATACAAAAATTAAGTGTATCAGTGAATGTGTCTGTATTCAGGCATTTCCTAACAATATGACATGTATTCAATATAATGGCCTTCTGTAGTGTGATGTATGTGTTTCTATTCAATTGTAATGTTCCTAGGCTCTTGTGTGCACCTGTAGATGTTTATTAGACAGGCACTGTATAATAAACACCTTATCTATCCTCCGCAGATGCCTTATTTCCTGGGCAACTCGCCCAGGAAATAAGACATCTTGTAGGCTACTTGCTGATTTTTTTCAGTGCATGTATTTTGTACATTGTGAGTGTTTGGGATGGATATGTCTATAATGTATGTTATTTTATTGTTTTTGTCAATGAGTGTGATATCTAGTCTGCTGTGGTAAATTGTTTTATTTGTGGTTATGGCTCTGTCGTAGTATATTATGTGCGTGTTATTTTCCAATACTGTCTGTGGAATGTGAATTTATTATTATTTCTAAAAATAATCTCGATAAGAAAATTTACACTCGCAGATATTCTTGGTAGTGTTTAGTCTTCTTCTGTGTTTCTATTGTTTTTATTAAGTAAAGATTAATTATTTAGAATAATTGTTATAGTGTGGAAACAGAACACTCGTTCCACAATAAAAGACTTGCAAAACAGTTTATTTATCTAACAGTAGTATACATTTCGACAATCAATTGTTTGCGACAATGCCCGTTTCGATCATCTGAGCTGCCCGAAATTCATATTGTCACAAAAAATTGAGTGTCCAACTGTACTATTGTTTGATAAACAAAGTCTTATTTGCAAATCTTGCGTTTTCTGCTGGAATATGAAGGAATGATCGATTTCTCTAAACATAAAAATATAACAGTGACCGATTGGAACCACTTAAGACTAGTTTGTTGTGGGTTCGCGCCTGATTAATGGGCTAGTCGCGTGGAGTTTTCAGGATTTTTTTCGTATCTAATATCAAAATATCTAATATAGGTATCTAATATCAAAATAGGGACTAGTTGGACTACAATTTAAAAAATTGTAGACCTATAAATTCCCACTGTCGTCCGTCTGTCTGTATTTTAATCTCGAGAACGATGTCAGATAGATGAAAGTCGAGACCAGGTATGGAAAACTTAGGGATAGGAGGCCCAATTAACTATATACGAGCTTCTGCTTTGGACCGGAAGTCACATTATTTCAATTCAAAAATTTCCTCCTGTACGGAGTTAGGTGTATTATTTTATTGTTAATAGGAAAAGTATGGTTTCTCATAGAAAATCCTTCCGTGAAGAATCTCTTGTCTTGGGTTGCCCATGAAACTAAACCACAATTTAAGAATGTGCGAGAAATACATGCTTCCAGAGGAATAATACATTCAGAAGTTAAAAATGCACCATGAATTATTAAAAAATTTATTATTTGAATATCTATCACTTTATTTAAAATGGGTGTGACGAGTTTAACATTTATTTATTAAAGGCTACTTAAAACACACACACACACACACACACAAATTAATTATTTTAATAAATCATATCTTTTGGCGCAGGTTTAAAACATAGAAAATATTATTATTTTCTGAATTCATTTAAAAATTTACTCTTACTTTACAAAAGAATTTTTAATTAATTTTTTTCTGCTCTTATTGATTTGTGAGGATTTTTGTTTATCATCGTCTTGTTTACAGAATTATTCTACTCTACAGAAATACATTTTTAACAGTTAATTCATTTCTAAATTCCTTTTTAAAAAAAATTCCTATTAAAACATGAAAAAGTGATATATAATTTCATCTAATAAAAAAACTAATTAATTAATTCTAATTAATAAGAAAATTTTTCAATGTTTCCATCTGTTTCTTCTAGATGCACCTTATTCATAGCGCTATATGAGGCTTTCTTAATCAAAAATGCAACTAAGTAAGCAAGTAATTATATCAAAATAGATAAAATAATAGTAATTGGCAAGATATATTGAAAAATGTATAGCCTATATTATATATACTATTTGTAAATAATATTTATATTAACTATTGGGGAATCTCTTCCATATTTATATTTTTGATCGAAAATTCTGTAAAAACAATTATATATTAGACTAAAATTACAAGAGAATTTCAGGAATTTATGATCCCTTTGATCTTGGACATTGTTTTTTAGAAGATACTTTATGTTTAACTGGCAAAAATTGTGTTATATATATTGTAAAATTATTATAGATGTCTCGACGTGATAAATTTTCAGGGATCATAAGAAACAGGATAACTGAGTGAACGACAAAGAAATTAAGTTATTAAAATTTCTGATTTTTCTTCTATACTAAATCCTCTAATGCAACTTGGGATGGGAGAACAATGGAGAAATTTACTGTCTTCATTCATCTAAATCATTCGTGGCTTGATTATTTGCGCCCGCAAACTAGGTCCAAAATGACATACTTTTGATTATTTTTTTGATTTTTCTATGAAGTTTTACTGCTTTTTTTTTATAAAATATTCTTTGTTCTCTTAGATTTATGTAGCTATTATATTTTTATTCGACCTTAGAGATAAATGTCACGCCTTACTTTCAATGGTTACTTTTAGTAATTGTCCCCTTGATGACACCAATCATCATTAGTTTTGTGTTCATAATGAAAGGGGTGCTTCACTCCTTTTTTTGCACCAGAACTGTAATTCGTTTCATATATTCTAATATCAATTAAATAAAATTGTCTTATCTATTCTTAATTAATGTNATAAATATGAATTTAAAAATACCAATAATAAATTGAAAATTATAATTTTCTATTAAAAAAATACATTGATACCACAGAGATCAAAATCTCATGATTATGAAAATGGCACAACCCCACCAAGCCACCAGCCACTCTACAAATGACAGAAATTCTAATGTTTTAAGTAATTTTGCAATTTTCAACCTCCATTTTTTCCTTTAATTTCAAGTATTGTGCCTTACTGCTTGGCACATGTCAGTCAATATGGGGATGCACTATAACCTCACTGAGTTTCATCAAAATTGATGACCCCAACATCATACTGTTCCCTCGTAAGTCTGTCAGAATTCCTACCATGAAGCTCCTGGACACAGGACTAATTGATCCATGTCAATTTTATATAGGTTTAATGATGTATTGTTTTTGTCTGCAAAAATTACCACTTTATGTAATTGTGATCTTATTGTTTTTACATATATTCTGTCTAAAAAAAACTTTAAAAAAATGATTTTGTAAAGTTTTTGTTAGACAGAATTGAGATTGATTAATCACTCTTCAAAAGAGTGATTGATCAATCTCAATGACAATTAAGATATGCAGATTGACAATTATAACACCAGTAGGCTATAATTCTTGCTCTTTTCATTACTATAAAGCAAATTTTGAGGACTAAAATAATTTACACGCATTTAAAATGATATTTCTATCTTAAATGGCTATATTTTGCCTTGTTTATGTACATCATCATTACTTTCCACTAATTTGCTAACAAAATCTAAACTACAGAAGATATTACTATTTTATATTCCTATAGAATAATATGACCGCCATTTTATCTAGTTACAAGTCGATCAATCTTGTATTTCCTATTAATTTTTCGAACTTATCATTTAAATCAATTATTTTATGGTGAGATTTGATTTAAATGATTACTTCGTTAGAAGAGTAAGAAGAATTCGAAGATTTACTAAGAAGATATTCACTAATCAATCTTCTAAATTGTCATAGAAGTATATTTGAAGGCATAGCTTAAAAGAAAAAGTATATGTATTTATTTACAGTAAGTAAGTAAAAATAAGTTAAATTTCAAAATTCGAAGAATGTAAATGGCTTAACCTCCCCCATAAAAAATGTCCATTAACGTTTCAAACCTCTTAACAACGGCCAAGAGGGGAACATAAAAAAGTGGCCGTTTTTAGGAGGTTATTAATAAACTATACGTTGTGGGCCTATTAAATACGGTTTTTAAAATTAATTAATTAAAAGTGAAATATATAAAGATTTATTTAGCGAAATAACTAAATCGGATGAATTATATTTGATCATTTCTAAGTTTGAATCACTATTCAAGGAGAATGAGTGATTCGGGCCTAAAATATAATTTAAAACTATTTTTATATTTATCATCTTTTTAAATAAATTAAAAATTATTATTCTTTTTTATTTAAAACTACGTTTAAATATTATTTTTAACTGTTGAAAGAAAAATTTCTTATTCGTATCAAGCCAAAGGATTTAAACATTTTAATTTAATAAATTCGTAAAAAATTAATTATAATTTTAATTAAAGAATAAAAATATTTCAGTTTAATATATTTTAAAACTGTTAATTATGTATGAGTGCAGCATATTAACTCTCCTTAGCAGCAGCAAATTAACAGAAACAACAAATTTACTCCTTTGTTACATCTGTTACTTATTAGAAGAAATTTAAGATAAAAGTGAAAATATTGCAATTTATTATTATTACTCATACTTTACTTTATTAATAACTTTATTAAATAAAATTTAATAGGTCTATTGAGCAGCTTAAACGAATAGTTTTAGCGAGGCTTTCATTCTAGTACAGTGTGATCCATAATTAAAAAGTAGATGTTCAGACTTCTCTGTAGAGAGAACTATTCTATGACTTTCAATCAAATTTCATATACATACTGTCCCGAGTATGCGTTTTCGATTTTCGAGAAAAAAAATTACTTTAAAATTCATTCGCTAGGTTGAAATTTGGTGCTACTATCCCCATAATGTGCATATTTCGTACGCTGGAATGAAAACTTGATTTACAAAGGGAAAAAAATCTAATAATTTTTAAAGAATTTATCAAAAGTCTAAATCATTTGTTTCTTCGAAATTTTTAAATTTAAATCTAAAAATTGCTCATTTTTTTCAAACAAAATTTCGACCTCAGCTGTCATTTGTATTATTATTATTTTTAAAATCTAGAACAGTGAAGAGACGTTTCACCAGTTTGTAAAACTGCATTTTTACTCGAATAATCTGTATTTTTAATATTTATTTTACACGAATATAGTATCAAAAAGAATCTAGAATATATACATAACGCATGAATTAAGGCTGCTGAATCTATAGAATCTTCGCACAAACTTGAACAATTGATATTTTCTATAGTTTTACAGGAATTTAAACGAACCTTACATTAATATTAATACCAGAATTAAATCAAAATCTGGCAATTAAAAATTTATATTCCACCCAAGTAGCCTATGACCTACTGCAAGATCCCTTAAATTTTTATTAAAATTGATTTATATGAAGAAAAAGCTTTTAAAAATTAAATTTTTAGCAAAATCGAGAGCTTATTTATTTTATTATTTTTTTTAATTTTCACTAAAATAAATAAAGGAGAAAACGAAGAATATAGCTACAAAGCAATTCTACTGTATATTATCGCTGCTCTTTAGTCTTTATTATAAGAGATAATAAATTTTTACTAAAATTATATTTATTTCATTCCAAATATTTTATTACACTTTTAACAAAATAAAAAATGCTAAATTTTTATTTTTTGTATTAAGTTTACCTAGTGAAGGTAGAACAACCTTTACCATTATCTACCGCAGCATAATTCTAGATATATATAAAAAAATACATAAATTTAACTTTATAAAATCGTTTTAATATAATATAAATAAATAATTCACGTAAAAAATGATTATTAATATCCTTTATAATTTTGTTTTTTAATTTTTCGCCGATTTTTTTCCAACCAACCAAGCTCATCTTTACTCGAATATGGCAAAAACACTCGACGAAAACAAGAACTTAAGCTTTAAATTATTTATTTATTTTTTACTTATTTATACAGAAATTCATTAATTCCTTTTATTTTTGAAGCTTTCTTTAGTTATTAAGACATTATAAATGATAAAACACTCTTCAGACAAATCGTAGTCCACGATGGAAGAAGCCATTATCAGAACCATTTAACGTTCTAATTTGGACATAAAGTGAAATAAAATTATATATATATATAAATATATATATAAGTGGGCCGATACATAAAAATGTAATCGGAATAAAACACGTATAATAATTTTTCATCAGAAGCTCTCCACTTATCGAAAATAGCACCATTTAAAATAGGCCGGTGCCGTAGTAAGAGCTATTTTAGTTGCATTTCGATGTACACTTAGGCTTATATTATTTAGTAAAAGAGAAAATCTTTCAGCCCGGATAAAAAAAAGTACGATCCATTTCTATCGGGCGACGAAGGTTGTTAGGAAATGGATCCTCTGGAGAGGCGAGATCGGTCACACATCAACGCCAAACACTCCTTTTATAAATTATCGTAGATGCCAATGACAGGAGAGAGAGTCGGTCCCCCTATACTCAAGAGACCCGTTTCGTCCTCGTTCGTTGAAGACAGTACAGGGAACGCGCATTTGATATTAATGTGGTTTTGCTGTCCCATTAAAAAGTAATCCATCGACAGTGACGCTGGATGGAGAATCTCCAGGGATGAACCCACCGTCTGATTCTAACGCTTCCTATCATTCTCTGTAGGACCGTCTCTTCTTCGGGGAATTTTAACTTTCCCAACTTTTTTCTTCGTCCCCCTCCTTTCGTTTTTATATGCCTTTAGCCATAGATGGCAGCTGTTTTAATTATTATTGCTTCTCCATCCGGAAGAATTTTTCCTTTTTAGGATTTTATAAAACGGTTACTGTCAACGGCCCATTGTGATCCAATAGAGTTTATTGAAGGCTTTTGAAAATTCTTGTCGAATTTACTGCTGTAAATTGAGTTTTTTCCCTTTATCTGTTGCATGAAAGATCCATAGGCTACCTCGTTTAATCGCGTTGGGAAGTGTGATACCAACGTCTCTGACTACCTAGACATTAAAAACTTAATCGAAAAAATGTTAAAATACAACAAATATATTGTAAAAATCTACACAGCTGTATCAGAAATATATTATATTAATAAATCGAGATAAAATAAACCTAAATTCTAATGCTTAATTTATACTATTTACAGTGTATCGCCTTTATTTTAAGCAATATTTTTCTTTATCTCTTCGTATTATTTCCTTTATTTACATTAATATTATTATACAAATATATTAAAATACAATATGCGAAAAGCATTTATATATAGAGCCATTAGCGTAACTAAAACCGATATTTGGGGGTTCCGAATTACAACGTGGAAACCTACATTCACTTCTTCACCACTAGCCATGTGAAGGATAAACTCTTGGATATTGTATGAAAATGTGTACTTTTTTTTCTTAACTTAGTTACAAAAGTAAAAGGGCCTCCTGGGCCCTCTCTGGTTACGCTACTGACGATTACGTTTGCATATCTGAATAGGAAATTCTTCCAGATTCCGAATAGCTGTAAACTCTAAACTTAACTTAAATGTACTGTACCATTGTATAAAAATAATAAAGAAAATAATTAAATATAGCCTAATCCTGAAAATTTTAATTTTCTTATAGTTTATTATAGCCTTTAATCGCTTAAGACGGGGAGAAACTTCCATCATCCAGTACATCGATCATGTTTCTTTTTTATCAGTTGATCGACTCAGTTGATCTGTTGTGAAGTTGGCCAAGATTTAAGCTATAAAATGTCTCGAGCTGCATGGGGAGAAAGATGTCAACTGAATTGATTTTTAAGACAGATATAACTTGCAACATCAAAATCACAATACGTTTTGAATTATAAATCTAGAAGAAAATCCGTCTGATAAATCTGCGTGCGTGTATTATTTTCAATATGGCAGAGACTAAATTAAGCTAATAATTAATGAGGATGAAATTTATCTTACGATAAGCCAGTGCAAAAAATGGAGTTATTATTTTAACTCTTCCTGCCTTGAGGACAGTTAAAGAACCAGCCCCAAAATGAGAATTATCGGATGATGGGGGACCGCCATACATATGGGTTAACTAATGGAAGTTTTGCAAGGAATTTTGTCATCTAGAAGTGTTTATATGAGAGTTCTATAATAGTTTTTCGACTGTAAGACGTTAAACATTCAATGCGTTCAGAATAAAACGAAAATAATTACAATATATAAAATATTTAGGCACCTTGTGTTATTTATAAATGACATTCCTTCTTATAAGCTCGTAAGAAAATGCAATTATCGAGTCGATCTCCGTTTTTAATTTGTGTTAGTCATTCTATTGTTAGTTAGGCTTTCCAGCAACACAATGAGGCCTGTCATATAGATCACACAATAACGTAACCAGGGCCCCTAACTTTGTGTATAAATAAATGAATAAAAAATCAATCAAGTATAGGAAAAAGATTTGAATGTGACGAACAATTTATGAGTTTACTCCTCATTCTCAGCGGCATAGGGGTAGATGTAGACACGTTCTAATTCGGATCATCCATTATATCGGTTCTAGTTACTCTACTGGAAACAAATCGACTAACATTAAACGAACGAACGAATAAACATAGGCTGTGATAACTAATCCTCAGTGGCGCGTTACAAGTTCATGAGGCCCAGGCAAATTTGAATTAGTGGGCCCATGTACTGTGTTGATTTCAGTCTTTGGGGGGGAATATTTTCTTATAAAAGATTGGTTCGGGGCTCCTGTTGACGGGGATTCAGGCAATTGCCCTTTTTGCCCACAGGATAACGCGCCACTGCTAATCCTCGCCTTTCGGCAAGTGATTGACCATTGTTAATTTTGCTATCATTGTTAAAATTAATTATTTATAACTCAACTTATAAATAAGTGATGTGAAAATGTCAACAAAACGTTCCTAATTTCATCAATGACGAGTTCAACAGGCCTGCAACACATCGTAACTGATAGTTGTTTTATGAATGTTTATCTATATTTTCGTGATAAAGTTCGTGGTAAAGAATGTTAATTATTTTTTAAGTTGTTATTTATAGAAACAAATATTTTCTAATTATACAAAGGAAGAAACCACGCATTTTTTAGGCTTAATGCGTTTCACATTTTCTAGATCTTCATATAGTTTTTACTCAACAAATCTTAACTTGAATAACATGACGTTGTACAGTACCGAACGATAGTATAAGGATTAATAGTGTTGTATTGTAGCGTGGTCTTGACGTCAATATAATTAATAGTGAAATGCAGTTAAGCTTTACATCAATTTGACGTCGTCACTTCAATTTTACAATGAAAAATTATAAAGAATAACATCAAATTTACATTAAAAATGTGTGTATCCCAACCATCGAACAGACCAATAAACTTTGTCCAGTAATCTGCCTTGTATGTCTAAACGGCATTCCTACCTTTAGTATTTAATAATTTCAGATACTAAAATTTATGCCTATAAATCTAAATAAATGGTAATTATTTATAAGATTTTTCATTGTAACGTACTATTTAAAACTTATAAACTCTAAAAAATCCTTTATTACAAACCAATTTTTTATTAAATCACTTTAAAGGAGATAATCATCTTGCTATAAAAACTAATTTAATTATTTAAAATTTAATTAATATTTTTTTAGCAAGATGATTATCTCCTTTAATCATCTTGTAACCTTATCATTATGTGTAATTATTCAACTCTGTACCTGTACAAGGTGAATTGTTACTAACTGTAAGTTACATTCATAAAGGATCAAACAGTAGCCTGGCAAAGTATTGAATAGATCTTACCAAATTAAAAATGTAAAAATATATTTTGTGTGTTAACATTATGATAAATGTCTCACCACATAACAAGACCTTATAACGTTTTATGCAATGAGATCTATTATGTAGGCCTGTTACTATATATAAAAAAGCAAAAATTCTGTATTAATTTCATAAAAATCGTATTAAAATTTTCGTGATAATAAGAAAATAAAGAATTTAAGATTATGCGAATATTTAGGAATTTATTATGAGATAATTATTAGAGAAATTAAAATTTAATTAATTAAACTCTTTTATCACAATACACTTAATAACATAACTGGCCTGTGATCATACATAGTATGTTTATAAATATAGCTTATATTTATCTCTTGTATACATAAATCAGTTATTATCTGTGAATGTGCATTATATTATTAATGAAGATAAGTTGATGTTACTCGTCCTATGCAGGCTACTTGTTAAACAATACTCGACCTTCTCTACATTAACAAATATAGAGTTGCAGTCAGTTTCCACTCTATTAATTAAAATCCTACGAATTTTAAAGAATAAAATAATAAAAACATTAAATTTATTAAACGCTTTTATCCCCCTCAAATTTTGTCTACTTCTAATTAAAGAGTAAGATAAAAGTCGGAAACTTCGAAGACAAAACTAAGTTCTACGACAATGCATTTTAATCATGCTTTAAAGGGTTGGCCCCACCCCGAAACACGATTAACATAACCCAAATGTAGAATTTAATCACGTGTACGTGTGTAAATGCATTTTAGTGATATAGTAGGAATAGGACATCTTTACCATCATTGGCGCGTTATAACTTCGTGGTGTCAAGGCAAATTTGAATTGGGGGGCCCCATGTCGTGTTGAGTTCAGACATTTTTTTCAGGAAGAATTTTTTGGGAAATATTTTCTTATAAAAAATTGGTTTGTAGGTCCCTGTTGATGGGAGTCTCGTGCAATTGCCCCTTTTGCTCATAAGATAATGCACCACTGCCTACCATCTCACACTCCAATCTTAAAAAAGAAAAGGCCAGTAAAAACGTTTTTTAAAACTTTTAAAATTTATTAAAATTATTTTACTGAGCATTACTGAAATTATTTTATGTTGATTACATAAAAAAACTGATGAAGGCATTCGAAATGCAATTTATAATAAATAAAGAAATGTCGAAATTGTTGAAAATACTCAGAATTATAGCTGTATATAAACACCCATTCACACTAATTTATCACATAAGATGCTGTTAGACTAAGTAACAAATTAAATATCCACCGAGTAGTTTCGTAGACTGAAATGTAATTATTTTAGTCACAATTTCTTATTTCTAACCAATTAATTTCCTTATTAAATATCAAACGAGAGTTCTTATGACGTATAAGAACATCCAACTCGAATAACAGTGAACGAAGAACATACAACTCGATAACAGGACATAACGTTCGTCACTCGAGTTAATTCGACAGTGATTGAACTAAGTATAATTCGGCCTGACGTGCGATTGGATTCGATTTCCACACAACTCTAATTGCATCTTACTTCCTGATTATCTCGGCTGTCACAAGAGTGATAGAGACGTTACACTAACCTATTATTGTCTTTATTAATAATGATGTTATTATGAGAAACAATAAAATATTTCGGCGTAAGTAACCAATCTTTAAGTATTAAAACTTTAATTCACGAAGCTCCCTTTTAAGCCGGGTACCGGTATACCTGAACGTGTGAATGGAAAAACTGGCAGTTCTGTCATCCGTATGTTCAGGTATACCGTCTTTATATTCTAGACCTATCGAGTTCGTAAGGATATAACTGCATCATTCAATTACAATATTATAATTGAATATTGTTTATGAATATAACACGAAGAATATGTCTGATACTGATGGATTTTCTTTTAATATTCAATTCTCTCCAATGTTCAAATAGCAGTTTCTGCAATTTTTCTATGGAAAAAAGCACTACATTAATCTTGAAAAACACTTTTAAATAAGATTTTTTGTGTTTAAAACGAGTTATTTCTTTACTTTTAAACACTCGATATTTATTTATTTATTTAAATTATAATTTATTCCTCAAATTAGGCATTTTAAAATAATTTTGCTTATTTTTTCAATTTATGAAGCTTATTTCGCTTAACAAATAATTATAATCCATCTCCAATCTTAGTAATAACACTGAAGATTTTTTTTCGATAAAATATCGTGAGGTCAGAGGTCACAAATATGATTTTAATAAGACTTAATGAATTATCCTTTATTTTATAACTGAAGATAAGGTAGTAAGGAAACCAAAGAATTAATTTTTATCTAGTTTAAGAAGATAAAATTTAAACTTATATTAATTATTCTTTATTTTTTATTAAGAAATTAATAAATTCGCCATCAGTCATCGACCGCTCGAAGAAGAGGATTTTGATGACAAAATAGAATGTTTATCCATCATCTGTGTGTATTTTGCATCCGTAAATCGATTCTGTCATAAATCTTCAACAGGAAAATATAAGAAAAGCCCGAAGACAAAGTTTCTATTGCTGTTTACGTTCAAAAATAAAACAAGATGAAACAAATATTTGGATTTTACAACAAATCAAACGTAACTGCCTCTGCGTAGAGACGGTTGATTGCCTGCTTTTGAAAGAGTACAACTGTTACAGAAGGCCATTCAACCGTTATAGAGATTTTTATATCGTAGCTATAGCTATGTCATCACCAGAAACCATACAACAGCTCGATAAAAATGGCTGAAAGAACAATACTTGTAAATATTATAGGATGGATTAGAAAATTCCTACTCTAAATTCTGTAAAACCAGTAAAGAAATTACGATTATTTTATTAAAAAAATTACAATTTTAGGATTTTAAAGCGTATTTTAGAATTTATTCTAACGTAAATTATCGAATTTTTAAGACGTAGGCCCTATTTCACCTTTAAAATGGAATTTTTGAAGGTATATGAAGGATAATTACAAGTATATGTAGCTTGGTAGATTTTATTTATTTGTAAATATATTAATATTGTATTTAAAATAAAGTATAATTAGCGTGAAATGTAAACTCTTCATGCGAAAGGAATGCGTGCAAGCAAATAGACCTGTAGAAGTTTGGGTAATTTAATGTTACATACGAATGCGAGCAAGTTCGGAAACACGTGGAAGAAACAGGAATGTTAAAATTTTAACATTCCTGCTTGAAATTGGAATTGAATTCTCTTTCCATTGTATGTGTTAAAATTTAACTTGTTTTACATACAGAAATGCCGTCTTCGCCGGGTTTCTACTCTATCCAAAAAACATGTTGTTTTATTACGAAAAATTCGCGATTCACATTTTATAACAATTTTTACAACATTTTTAATTGTAACAGCATCCCTAGTGAATTTTTATAATCGGCGAAACTCGAATAATGTGGGAAATTGCGTCTAGCAATCAGACTAAGAGCATTTTGATATAAATCTCCATAGACCGAATGTATTTTTGTTTCGCTCATTTGTCGCTTTGTTTTCTGCCTTATTACTGAATATTTATTATAAATATTGTCTGTAAAATAATATTAATGTATTTTATTTATAGTAAAATATCTCGTTTTATACATTTGTAACTTTTTAATTAGGTTCATACAAAGAAACTACTACTATATTTTTCTATTGTAAACTTGTTTATATTTTGATGATAATATAACAAAATTTTATTATTTTATTATCAAAACATTATTTTATAATTTAATTTCACTTAATACACCGAAAACTATAGCTATATTTGAAATGTTCTTATGAGAATAAACGGTTTTGTTAGCTGAACCTCTGCATTTGAAGTTCAACATAAACCACTTTCGTATGCCTTTTTAACTAATTTATATTTAAATAAACCAATCAAACTACGTGAAATATTTCAGATATTAAAGTAATTTTATTATTAATCAAGTTTATTTAGATTTTTCTCTATTTAAAGTCTCTCAATTCATTAAAAAGTCTACCTACGTTTGACTCTTTATCACTCGCTTTTAACCTGTTTATTAATCATTAATTGGGTATAAAATCGTAAAAACCTTGATATAGAGACAAAAATTAATGTTCATTCCATCATTATTCATTATACTTTAATTATAAAATAATAATTTCGATGTTTAAAACTCTTACGAAACAGTCTTATCCTGAGCATCTTCAGAGATTTAGTATCTTAAGATTATATTTTAAAATGTAGATTTATAAGTAAAATAAACTTAAAATCAAATAAAAAGAACGAAAATTACATGTGAAAAATATGGATTTATGTAACATATTAAATCGAAATTCAACAGTACTGTACATTGAGCTGTGATATTTTGTAGAATTTACTGTCAACCTACTACAAAGTCAATATATTTTGACACGACATCATAGTACCTTAGTAGAATTTTTTCCCAGCCGTTTTGTATTGAAATACTTAACTTACATCCTACTAGACTCGAAAAATATTTGAGAAAAGATAGAAGAAAATTGCGATTTTCTTGAGAAATAAATCTAACGTAGGCCTACGATAAGTCTTTGCAATATAAATTTGAATGATTTAAGCTTACTGCACAATCGAACCTCCAATAACGGCCATCTCTAAACAGCGGCCAATTTTGGGGTAAACTTTATTTTTGAACAAAAATGCATCCGAAATAACCTCTAAACAACGGACAAGTTTCCTTCAGTGGCCGTTGTTCACAGATTTGAAAATATTCGATAATAAATATTAACGACGGAAAATTCTCTTACAGAAGAAAAATTAGGAAAATAGGCCTATATATTTTAAATTCTCTAAATTATTCATTTTATCAAATAATTAAGCGTATGAATAGTATAAAACTACCTACTCAGCTACATTTTCACATTAATTAACTATCCCTCTGGATATTTAGTTTTATTTAAACTAAAATTAGAAAATAATTACTTATATTACTGTTTAAGAGAGTTAGTAGTTTAAAAAATCTTTCTTAAAAACCGAAGAACAAACAACGTAGACAGGAACCAACCACTAGTTCTAACTGGTCACCAGATTGGCGATTGAATGAAGGTCATGGGTTCAACCGCTTTTCGCGCCTAGAAACGGTTCTCATCTTTTCCGTTTAAGCTGGAACTAATTATAATTAAAGCTTTTAAACTAATTATATGTCGACTTATTATGCAAATTTCTTTTAAATTTATAAAATTTAAAATAATAATGAACTTATTTTTATGTTGAAGATTAAACTGATCGAATGAAATTTAGCTCTTTTTTTTTAACTTAAAAAAATGTGTTGTTTTATGTACAAAACTCGAATTTTTATAAGATTGGAGGCCGAATTATCGAGTTTGAATAGATTTAATCAAGCAAAAGCTCGTGAAAATCAAGCCAACTCACGCTGTCAACAGAAAACAGCCTTGTCAATTAAATGAGTTACTTACTCTTATACTAATTCCTTCCCGAAAGGATATATATTTTAATTGTTAATACGACATCACAGAAATTCTATTTACTTGATTATTATTTAATATATTAAATATTTGTTTAGGCTCTGTATCTTGAAATCGTTATAAGAAATGAGAAATGTTATCAATACAAATGTTTTCTATCGAAGATTCGATAGAGGGTTAACCCATATTCCTTGTATTTTACTTACAATTTAATTGATAAATTAATTAAATGGGCATATCTAACAAAGTTTTAAAGTAAATATCTAATAAATTCTACAGTAAAAATCTCAATTTTTACTCTAGAATTTATTAGATATGAACGCAGAGACGAACCCAAGTTACCTTCTCTTTAAGCTATTGTTTATCATTTAGATGCTAAATTTACTAATAAATCGACGTTAATTAGAGTTATTTATAAAAAAAAATTATCTTAANTAAAGTAAGGCAGAATTGCATAATTTATAGAATTAAAAGTAAATATCGAGGATGGGATAAAATATATATATATATATAAAATTACCTTTGGGAATGATAGAGATTGACAGGCGAGACTTTTTCCCCCTCTCCAAATGATTAGCGACACTTGGAAACGGGGGTCGAAAGCGAAACACGCAACTGATACATATGTCACAATTGAAGGCGATAATGAACTTTTTGGAAAAGCGTCTCTTCTTTGAATGTAACAAAATATAAGCATCAAGATAATGAAAATAAGTCTTTTACTACTTAATTTTCTTTATCTGGAATATTCAGAAGCAGATAAAGAAACGGAAATGATCACAAGTCAAGAGTGAAAGACCTACGCTTAAGCTATGGATTTTGAAGTGATTTTTCTTTAAATATGAGTTTCTCTAGTGTAAAATTTTTAAAATATAAATTAGACACCTCAAAAATTCTTTATAATAACTCTATTTCGATTTGAGACCCTTCTTATTCGATTAAACAAAGAGTAACTAGCGAGAAATCTGCTGTTAATTCGGAATCGGTACGTGAACCAGCTTATCTCATGTGAGACTAATTTAAACCTTTAACCCGAATTATCATTTTAGTTCAAAGAAAGGGACGATTTTAGAACCATTCAATATTCAGCATCCTCTTGTAAATTACGAAGATCTCTCGTACAGCACGAATTTTAGGATTTTAAATAGTGGTTCTAAACTATTAAAATGGTATATTTTCGGTATATATATATTTATATATTTTAAAATGTAGATTTATAAGTAAAATAAACTTAAAATCAAATAATTTTATTTGTAAAATAATAAAATTATTATTTTAAGAAATAATTTGTAAGATAACACGCTCCCTGCAGTGAACGTATTATCAATTTTTATTACATTACTTATTTAAAAATTCGATTTTTAAAATGTAAAAAACTATTCAAATCGCTTCAAATTACCATTAAATCGGTTTCTGTAAAAATAATTTTGATTTAGATATTAAGTTTCTGCGGTTTTATTGCCATAGGTTTAAGTATACAGGATATAGGTAACCTGTAGGCCTGCATCTGATTATCCGAACGAATTCTAAATATTTCTGAATGTAACAAAATATAAGCATCAAGATAATGAAAATAAGTCTTTTACTACTTAATTTTCTTTATCTGGAATATTCAGAAGCAGATAAAGAAACGGAAATGATCACAAGTCAAGAGTGAAAGACCTACGCTTAAGCTATGGATTTTGAAGTGATTTTTCTTTAAATATGAGTTTCTCTAGTGTAAAATTTTTAAAATATAAATTAGACACCTCAAAAATTCTTTATAATAACTCTATTTCGATTTGAGACCCTTCTTATTCGATTAAACAAAGAGTAACTAGCGAGAAATCTGCTGTTAATTCGGAATCGGTACGTGAACCAGCTTATCTCATGTGAGACTAATTTAAACCTTTAACCCGAATTATCATTTTAGTTCAAAGAAAGGGACGATTTTAGAACCATTCAATATTCAGCATCCTCTTGTAAATTACGAATATCTCTCGTACAGCACGAATTTTAGGATTTTAAATAGTGGTTCTAAACTATTAAAATGGTATATTTTCGGTATATATATATTTATTATTATTATTTTTATTTTTAAGTTTGTTAATTTTGTTAAAATTCTTGTAAAACGTGCGAAATTCTACGCATTTTAACGATTTAAATCATTAAAAAATGAGGGTCAGATTTGACCCTTCTCTGACGTTTCTCGCTTACAATAACTTAATTTACCGTTTTATAAAACAAACAAAGAAATAAATAAACCTACCTGAACTCTAGATTCGGTCAAACCAATTCTAACGGCCAATTCTTCCCTCATAAAAATGTCCGGATAATGAGTTTTAACGAAGCTCCTCTCCAACTCTTGCAATTGTGTAGGAGTAAATCTGGTCCTGTGTCGTTTCTGTTTAGTTGGCTTCGTCTCCGAAGACTTGCCGCTCTCCTCTTCTCTGCCCATTAATGGTCTTCCACCAGTAAACACCGTCCTTAATTGGCTAACATCCATTTATTTATTAGACTTTCCTCGACTTAATTAAATTGTCCGGCGCAGTTTAATCACCCCTTAAGCGTAGTCAATCAACTTAATGAGAATTTACCCAACAGGTTTGGGATCGGTCAGAGACGTGCGATATGTCTTAACGTTTCTCTTCAGCTAGCAACCGTATCCCTCCGGTTCCACCAATAAGAGAGCAGCAGCTCGTGACGTCACCGGCTCCAACCAATGGCCTCTTATTTTCCTTCTTATATTTAATAAGTGAGAAATGATGTTGATTGTTTTATTAGATTTACTCCTCTAAGTCGAAAGAAATTTTTCTATTGCGTGACGTCTCCTAAATTAATTTCTAGGTTTTTTACTTTCTTTTTTCTTTTTTTAATAAATATTTCAACTCGTTAAACTTTATTACATTTGATTGAAAGTGTTTAAATTGTTTTAAAATGCCTTTCTTTTTTCAATCTCTCTTCGTATAAAATGCCAATTTATGTCTTTCTTCCGCCGTCCAAACTTATTAATATAAATTAATTCCGCATTTTCTCTATTGAACTTGCTGTTAAAAATAAGAATATTTTTTTAATTTTTATATTCTTTACATTCACTTTTCCATGTTCTAGTTATGTTACTATAGCAACGATGTTTCTAGAAATACTCTACGTAAGAATCTTTATCCCTTCTTTTCAGGATGTTAGAATGCGGGATTTTTTATATTTTTTCTTTATTATTAATAAAATTTCTGTTATAAAATTTCTTAATAATATAATTAAGGATATTTTTCTTCGATTTATTTCAAGTTTTACTGTAAAGATTAGAGAAAATGGCGACACTTTGCAGCCTGTAAAAGATGCAGAACAGAGCCTCGAGCTATCAGGCTACCGTTTAGGTCTCACTATTTTAAAATTATTATTGTTTGGTTGAGGTGGATTACTTCTTAATTATTATAGAATTAGATTCTTAATAAGTCTAGAGCAGGCTTCGAGTCTAGAATTAAGGAAGAGTAACTTATATTATACACACAAATCCGATTTTAATTCTAAAACACATATAATTAAATAAATTGCGTGTGCTTTTAATGTTTTTCTTAAAGAAATTTATGCAAATATAACTCCAAATTTCCATTAATTCTTATAGGAAGGGAGTGTAATGAATGCCACGCGCAGAAACGTCGATACCGCTCTCCCTCAATTAGAAGCAGAAAAGTAATCTTCACTTTGCTTATCTTTTGTAAAAAAAAAGAAAAAATAATAATAATAAAAAGTTTAAGTATAAAATAAGATGATAAAACCATCGATTTTGCTGTAAAGTAAGGCAGAATTGCATAATTTATAGAATTAAAAGTAAATATCGAGGATGGGATAAAATATATATATATATATATATAAAATTACCTTTGGGAATGATAGAGATTGACAGGCGAGACTTTTTCCCCCTCTCCAAATGATTAGCGACACTTGGAAACGGGGGTCGAAAGCGAAACACGCAACTGATACATACGTCACAATTGAAGGCGATAATGAACTTTTTGGAAAAGCGTCTCTTCTTTATCATCCCCAATAAATGGCAAAGCAAAGGATGAAGTGTTACCTTGGTAACAATAAGGATGAATATGTGGAGATGGAATCTTTCAATTTGATTCTTCTCGTTACATTAACGATATTTTTTTCTATTTATATCGATTTTTCTGTGAATATATTTAAATATCCACTAGTTTTATTTGATAAAATTATCGCCTTCTGGAGTATTTTATTTAAATTTTCTCTTCTATTAGCCTGTAGATTTCTTTTAAATCAAGATTTAAATTGATAAAACAGCATTTAAAAGATAAAATTTGACACATTACACCCTAATTACACTGTAAACTATTCGATACTTTCTTTAATAGCAATTTATAAATTAGTTTCAAAATATTATTTTGGGTTTAACTATTAATATATGTTATAATATAAGCTATAGGCCTATATATATAATAAAGGTAAGCAAAAGTTCGTTAACCGAGTTAGCTGACTTTGTTATGACTTTTGAACCACCCCGTGTATTATATAGGCCTATATTATTACCTAGTTTTATATTTTTATAGGATTTTATATAACAATGAATAGTGTTACATACAGTTTTATTTTTGGTAATTTCTAAAATTAAAAAAATAAAAAGGAGAATATTTATTTATTTATTCTTAATCTAATTAAATACTTAATTAATTAAATTTAATTAAGTTTAATTCTTAAATTATTTTTTAGCTTCGTAAAGAATTAAACAATAAATCCAATATGGCTACCGTTATATAACGTAAAACTCGCATTCTATTTTATAATATCAAAGTAATAAAAAGTAATAATAGCGAGCAAATGCTAGTTTTCGCTTATCTTTTAAGGAATTTATGCAAATTAAGCAGAAAATTTCGTCAGTTTTTATAGGATAAGAATATAAGATAAAGTGCCACGCGTAACATGGATACTTCACTTACCTTTAAATTAGAAAAAAATAAAAAATAATGATAATAATCTTGCACTACATTTTAAACATAAATTCTACACTTTTTCTTACAAAGACCAATAAAATTTGATTTAAAAACATATAAAATGACCGATCTCTCTATATACTGTATTAACACGATTCCAAGTTGAAATTCTACAGATTAATGAAGTTAAGTGATGATTCAGTAGTTCTTATAATTTACAACACAAATTAGAATCAGAATAGGAACGTTTAGAAATTTTGTCAATCAGTTTTAAGTTGCTGAAAATATCAATTACTTTGAGAAACAGGTGTTTTTATTTTACTGTATTTTGTGAATCATTAGGCTAAAATGGAAGATTCAGTTAACCTTTTCACATGGACATGTTAATGTATCTTTTGTTTAATTTCGTTTAGTTTAATTGTATTATACTAAATCGAATTTAACTATCTTTCCGTTAGCCTATATGCCGTGGTATATAGCAGCCTAAGACATATGGCCATTAGTAGTACAGCTGAGTATTTTACTAATTATAACTACAAGGATCCAAAGACTCCGTCGTTTATATAATTGAAATGTGTATTTTAATGAAATTCTAAGTAAATTGTCTGTTTCGAGTTAGACCCCCGAAACTTGAGTATTTAAGAAACATTTTTTGATCGTGGTGGTCAGTGCCGGCCCGAGGCAAGTTTTAGGATGGAGCGAGATCCTATTACGGCGCCCCCTTGGTTGCCCTTAATTTATACCCTTTAATTTTCTTTACCACTGAGGCGCCCTCTAGGACTTAGCGGCTAGAGCGGCTGCTCCGTTCGCCCTATGGTAGGGCCGGCTCTGGTGATGGTATTTGGTAGTCATCATCATGGGCGTCGATTTATATGGGACAGAAGGAGCATTTTTCCCCCATATTTTTGTACTAGCAAATTGTCCCCCTCCAAACATATTTTTATTTTATGTCATACTACAAAAATTAAAAATAGAAACGAGTACTGCAGGCTGCACAACGAATACACTTTAATTAATTTGTACCGTACGTCCACTCAACACCCGACAATGAGAGATTTATTTTATTCATTGTCATTGACCCATCCCCCAATATTTATACAGATCACCTATATGATCATTATTAACAATTATACGGATTAATTTGTTTTTTGAGCCTCAAGTTAGCTCCAAATTTGAATATTTAATTTTTTTTTTTAATTACGGCCATCGATTTACAGCAAAATCCATTCTTTTTATCCTTTCTTAAATGCAACATTGAATTAAAGAAAGATTAAACTTAGAAATAGTCATTAAACGTTAGACAGTGACAATGATTAAACTCTCACATTATGCTAATTAAATTATTATTTTCGTATCATTTAGCTTTCGTTATCTTGTTATTGCATTGTGATGTTTTATAGCCACTTTGTAGGATGGATAATTATTTTACATAAATTAAAAAAAAAAAAAAATTAGTATTGACAATATTATTTTCAATATATACAGTAAAAACAGGACATAATCGGGAGGGTGTTTATGGTGGTGCCAGCACTCTATTGACAGTGGCGCGTTATCCTATGGGTAAAAAAGGCAATTGCCTGGGGCCCCAAATCCAGAGCCGTAACTAGCCATTCCTGTGACCTGTCAAGAATTTGCATTTAGGCCCCTTAATTTATTTGGTTTTGGGAAAATAATAAAACAAATACATTACAATAGATTTTTAATAAGATTTATTTTAATTGAATTTTTCTGGCTTTCATTTCAGCAAATTCATTAATTACACCTTCATAATTAATATTTTTAACGATATTGTATTCTATTGAAATAATAAAAATATTGAATAATCGTTCTTGTCCGCTAGTTGATCTTTAATAATTTTTTATTAAGTTTAACTTGCTAAAACTTCTCTCGCACGAAGCAATAGAAACGGGAAGAGTTAGAAATATTCGAAGAGCGACATTAATATTTGGGTAAGACTCAATTAAACCAAAATCATGAAGAGCCTGTAGAATATTAAGCGGAGATGCAGTTTCTATATTTTGTATAGGCCTAAGAGTCGTTACTTCAAAATTAAAACTTTCAATTTCACTTGTGAAGTTACTTTTTTAAATCTTTGCTATATTTAATAGCGAGATCCGCAGCCGATTTTTTTAAGTTGACAACACTCGTGTATTGTAAAGACCAGCCACAGCGAAAGCAAAAATCGTCACAGATAGTTTTCATTTTTTCATAACGCCAATCTATTTGACACAATAGAGTGTCAAGAACACTGTAAATTTGTATTTTAAATAATTTTTCGGGTGTCAAGTTACTTCCTTCATCTGGTGTTTTATCTATTTCCATTATCTTAACTCTTTTTTTTCGTTTATTAAGAAATCCCTTTTCTATACTTTTTGGTTTGTTTTAAGAATATGATCAATAATAGCATCTGTTAATATTGTTGGCCATAAAGCTATATCATTTATTACTTCCATGTATCTATATATATCGAAGCGTTTTTTTTTGGACTATTTCTATCTTCTGCGTTTTCGCAATCCCTTTTTTCAGTAGCATTTTAAAGACTGCGGGAGCCCCTTCGGGGCCCTACGCGCCCGCATAGTTCG